ATATATACAGAAATGATCTAATGAGCACCGGTGCTCATCTTATCCTAAACACCAATGAGTTGGCACATTAATTCATTGGTGGATTGGAACTCACAAAATCTTTATCCACCAATGAATTAATGTGCCAACTCATCGGTGCTTAGGATAAGATGAGCACCGGTGCTCATTAGATCATTTCTGTATATATATATATATATATTCAATCTAATTCGATAAGATCTCCAGTGTAAAAAATTCTACCGTTGAAAAATGATCATCAATTGGTGGAGGCGAGGCGAGCTGTCGTCGCCGTTGTAATTATAGCAATTTTCAAAGCGAGTTGGGGTGGAAGACGAACGTCCCAATAACATTTTAGCTTATTACTTAAATAAAATAGTAAAATTATCCTTTAGAACAAATTTTGCTAATTACTCAAAGGTTTGAAGATTGAAATATAACAAAACAAAGGTTATAACAAAATTGCAACGCGGGACAAAGGTTGGGAACCATATCATACTTTCTGAAAAGAAAAATTGCTTTAGATTGTGTCCCAACAAAACGTCTCAATGGGTTGAAAGGGACATGATGGGAAACTCAACAACCTTTTCTTCTCTATTAAGCTAAATGCCTCTGTGGGGACGCCCGTGATTAGTCCAATATGGGAAAAAAATTTCTACTTTGGTGGAGAAAGTCAACATTCTACTTACTCGACCGCAAGAAAATTGATACTTTTGTCCAATCGACGATACTTGATCAATAAGAAAGGGTTTCCCAAATAGTCACAAACAGCTCATAACACAAAAGATCGTCCACTGATTACGTGTGCATGTCACTCAGAGTCGATACTTGATCCTCAAATCTACAAATAGTCACGAAATAATCTAAAATCGTGTTTGATGGAGATTAAAATTAGATTTTTAGTAAATTTTAATAGAAATTTTTGAAATGTGTGGTTGAAAAGATGTAGGACCCATGAAAAATGTTGTTAATATTGATTGTTTGACTTAGATTATAATCAGATTTTAATCCAACCCAAACATGCTTTAAATCTCTAATATCCAAAAAGCATGCATCAATAGAAATGTCGATACCAACTCATTATATACTTTGATACTCTAAGTCAAAAACTCGGTGTTCATATATACCGAGCTCTTGTTTAATTCTCATTATTTTCAAAAATACATTTTTCTATCGATTATTTTTCAAACATATTTTTCAATAAAGTAGTATTACACTTAAATCCAAAATTTTTCATTTTTAACCACAAATTTTCATCAAAATATTATTCCAAAATACATTTTGGACAAAAGAAAAGACCTCAAATAGGCTATGAGTAATGGCTTGTGCTCAACTACATCCATATAGCCAATTCTAGTGTGCATCTAAATTCTTGGAACCAAAGGTGGACCCAAAGGGGTCCGGATGAGTCCCGTGATCCCTCAACTTTTGAGATTTTTTTTAATTTTTTTATTATAAAGTCACATCTAGTATCAATTGAAATCTACATTTTAATTTAAATCAAAGTTGACAATTAATTTTAATAACATATTTCATAAAATCCATAACTGTACTTTTATCAAAATTTACTAAAAATTTGATTTTAATCTTCACCAAACATGAGTAAAATCACAATAAATTTGAATTTTTCTCGTCTTACTCTTTTCCTCTCGCCTTTTAACAAAATTTTAACCCTTTTAATTTTTAAAAAATTGTATATAATTTTTCTATTAATTATCACCTTTACTATAAATCTTCATTTTCCAATCAAATTTTTAAGTGACTGGAACATAAATTTGCATTTTCTCCTATCAAACTGTGTATATAGAATACCTCTGAACTCATTATANTTAGTTATATGTTTTTCCTTTTGATTATTTGAATATATTATTTGTATCAAATATATTATAAGATTTTTAAATGTAAATATGCATTTTCTTATAATGAACAAAATATTAATAAAATGATTCTTCGAAATCAAATGGATGAAAATGATCAACAAAATATTAATGAAGAAATATATTTTAAACGTAAATCTACATTGTCTCCAATCAAATATGAATAATTCAAAAATCAAAAACTAAATATTCGATTTATATAGGGTTTGATTGTGCACTCCTAACTCAAAATGTCTGTGTCCGCTCATGCTTGGAAAAATGGTTACAGCCATTGACTTAGGAAAACATGCCATATTCTACAAGTCACCCAAACCCAACATACACGATGTACTGCTTAATCCCTGATTCCCTATGTTTTTAAAACTGATCCGAGCATAGATAAAAAAAAGGAAGAAGGTCAAAGGTTCAACTTGAATCCACCGGATGATTTTAAAAAATATATAAAAAAATACCAAAAAAATTTAAAAAAATCAAAAGATGAGTTTTTGCCTTTTTGGGCGGTTTTCATAAATTCAGAGCGGTGAAACCGGAAATGGGTCAACGGGTTTCCATAAAACTGGGCAGGTCGGTGGGTCGGCGGGAATTTTTTAAAATATGTATTTTCCTGCCTAACCGCCCGGCTTTGGCATATAATTGAACGCAACTACTATAGAAAATAACAAGCTCTTAACAACGCAGTTCGAACCCATCCTCTTGAAGGTCCAGCCGATTAATTCTTGAGTTACCTGAACAAACTCCAACCAGGCCACCACAAAAACAAAAGCAACGTACGAATATTCTCACCATATAGTAGGTCTTTATGGACGACAAGGAAATTGAAGTTTGGTGGCCGGGAAAAATGTTCAAAGGCTTGTCTTGTGTAGTTGGCATTGTGTCAATCTACACCTTTTTTATGGCCATTCAAAGGGACTTTCTTCTCATGAGTTTTGAGGACCCAAAAGGCACACGTGCATCAAATTGGCCTCGAATTTTACATTCATAAATATATAATTCAGTTTAAACGAAATCATCAATGCATTCACTTACGAGACACCTAGCATTTGTTAAAAGTAAAAGACATGTGACATGTACCAATTGCAAAACGAGATAGGTGAGAGCTGTTCCAAACATCCAATACTCCATTGCACAATCGACTGTTAAATAGCATAGCACATCCAAAGCAAACCTGCATGAATTAGCTGTACAACATTCTCAGCATTCTTTCCTGTATGCCTGCAGGTATAACATAAACTATATATTAACAATCTAAAATATTGGCTCGGTCAAAGACAAATACACAACTGATAAATCAAGTTAAATATCTCTGTATCACCTATGACATTTATCTTGTAGCCTTCAAAACATTATAAACACTCCTGACAGATTAAACTTATTTGTTGGCACACTGGCGTGTCCCAATCCCCTGCATTTATAATATCTAGGCATTTGCTAAATTTTCATTTTATGAAACGGACTAGATAGAAAAGACGAGAAGTAAAAGAAAGAAAAAAAACAATCAGCTCAATTCTCAAGTTCGAGAATTAGGCTGCATATTTGTGCTGGGTTTTAAGTACAGCAAAAGTTTTCTTATTTTACTTTCTTTTCCAAAAGTACTTTCACTGTCCTCATGTACATGAGACAGATAACAGGTACATACAACAACTAAACATTGAAAAACTATTAATCAAACTAAGACCCTGAAAACATAATAGGAATTTGAGGTCACACGGAAAAGAATGAATTACAAAACCTTGAATAGTTCAGTTGAAAAACCTAGTCCCGCCAATATTGCAGTCGAATTAACTTAAAAGCAATGCAAGACCATACCATTTACATAATTGCTGGCTCAACCACTGGGATTGTCATTGCTTGTTCATGCACGTGATTAAGTTCCTGAAAATTCTCCAAGCAAAGTCCATTCAGATACTTGCTCGCCTAGTGAATTCCCAGATCTGTCACCAGCATTGCTTGCAACATAGGGCTAGTAATGATATTTAATAAGCCTCCATTTGGCAAATTTATAAATGGTTTATAAAGAGGAAAAGAAGTGGTTCCACAAAACGAGTAGATGATAAATAGTAGTTATGAATGTGTAGTTGAAATTAATGTTTGACTTTGACTGAATTTATAAACCATTTATTAGTTTCTTCCAAATGGAGGCTAATATATTTAATGCAATAAAATGCCATATGATCCCAGAAAAACCAAGTAGAAAAACAGATTTGATTTTCCTCTCAGAGACTTGCTTAACATAGAAGATAATAAAATACAAAACAACAGTCGTCATTCAATTTTCTCTACTTCATTCATTCATTTATTCAATTTTTTCACAGGGTAGAGGTAAGGGGAAGGAGTAAATTAAAAGGGGTATATTATTGACTTATTGTTGCTCATCTTCCATATTTTAGTCAATTGAAAAAACATCATCTATTAATGAAAAGGTAAAGCAGAAGGCAATACCACAAATTTGATATTTCTTAAAAAACGATTTCATTCAAATAACCCATCTTAAACAATAAATTGCATGATAGGTACAAAGTATTAGATACAGACTATATAGTTGATGTAGGAATCCACCCCCAAGCACTATTTTTTGGGCCTTCGCTTCAAATTATCCCTTATGAAATAGGCCCACCATCATGTTCAAGTGATGCTCCGCATCATTTTTCCCTGAAGAATCAAACCTGAGATCTCCAACTCTGATCCTAACTAATGTAATGAAATCAACTACTTTTTCCAAAAGCTCTAGCTAGTAGTATGGGAGGCGCAACAAACTCGACATCACCTAGGCCCGAGAATCTATCACGAGCACTATTATTTTTGGCCTTTACTTCAATGTATCCCTCTACAAAATTTTAACTTCTTTTTCTTCTTTAGTATTGTCCAACACTTCTACAAAACAACTTCACCAAACAAGCCAAGAATATGTGTTCTAAGTTACCTAGCACATTAGAATGTCCTACAATCATATCATACGGTCTAGAATGTTCCTTGGGTATTTACTTATGGAAGTATGCTATCTGTTTAATAATATAACACGCAAGGCATTGGATGGAGGGGAGTTGAATCCCAAATGAAACTTCTTTTATTAAGCTACTTATGATGAATGTGTTTGATTTATCGTTGCAACAGTAGATGTATTCCCTCCTAAGACAAGCAGATGCTAAAGGACTCCTAAGAAAAGCAGTAATGGCATGCAAAGAAGTCAATATACAATTTACAATCTACAAAATTTCATTTTTAACATCAAATAATAACTAAACATTTGAGATATTTGAGAAGATAGTTGTGGCTTATGATGCACCGGTTGTATTTGAGATACCTCTGGGGAAGAAAGGACCTGTGGCTTTGATTCTTGCTGCTGCAGCTGCTGCTCCAGTTTTTCTAGTTCTTGTTCATAATGTGCATATTCCTCCGGTTTCTCCCACTACTTGTCATTTTCCAGACATTTATCACCATCTAAAGTGGTAAAAATCTCAAGGAAATGAAACTTTGCATCAAGAAGAAAATCTTACTCTGCTCTCACACGTTACACAATTATAATAGTACAGATGTGCATCAGGACACACGTGCTCGCTCCAGTCACAGTCTATCAAATGTGTCATATCACTACTTGAATTCGTGTCGTGGGCAGCAGATGCACTGCAGGTGCTCGAATCTGCTGGAGGCTTGTGTCCAATTTGTGGAGACTGCAAGAAAAATAATATCCCACTAGCATAATTAACAAGATTTATTGGACATGTCAGAAACAAACCAAAACTGTGTAAGAAAAGAAAAATTCTTAAATTATATCATCCACTTTTTATATCAAGACAATAAAAAGAGAGATGACAGCTTGTTTACGAATGAATAGCTCCCCTACAAGATACCTCCAGCGAACAGAATCACAGGACAAATTTAGTCAACCAATATGAGAGGAATACGGGATACCATATTGACTTATTTACTGAAACAATCAAATAGTCTTCAAGTTCTCAGAAGAAGAAGAAACTAAACAATTGCAACTAGATTAGCTCAGACCACAGCCAATATCAAAGGAATATGAGATACCATTTTGATTTATTACTAAAATAATCAAACAGCTTTCAAGTTCTCAGGAGAACAAAGAGACTAACTAATTGCAACAAGATATCAGCTCAGACCATGAGTGCTCTTTCTGCATGGATATCAGCCTTATTGTAATCCAACATCAATTAGAATTGTTAATCTTGCTGGAAACAGTGACTCAATTCTGTCCTTATCAGTTATCATGAGAAACAGCAGGCACAAGGCTGAGATTGTATCCCGAATGGAAGATTCAAGCCCCATTCCCATTCTAGTGTCTAACTCATGGAATTAAACCAAACTGGAGGCAAAAATCCCAATTCCTGATAACTGGTGAGGGGACAAGTATCATACAGGATACAGATACCACATGGACAAACCAAGATGTTGGAGCTAAAAAGCATGGATATGGTTATGGGCAAGCACAATACAAGGATATAGCATAATATCAATTTTCAAATATAAAACACTGTCAAGTTACAAGTATGATACAGAATAGATGAGACATGAACGCGGAAGATTTATGGTAAGTGATCCACAGATCATAAATAAAATGTTCACACTGCATTTTATGTCCATGATATGTCACATAAGCTACACTAGAGTTTCATTAACCAGCATGACTGACTGACTGACTACCCACCTTAGAATTTTGACCCTGCACAGGTAACTAAAATATCATGCAAGAGATGCATAAAACATCCAACATTATAAATTTTAGTCAACTGCGAAAATAAGACATATTCAAACAACGATAAACAAGATATCGTAAGAAAAAACAGCTGCAAGTTAGCTGCATCTAGTCAAAAATGGGAACTCAACTAATATATTGTACAAGATCATACAATTTCAACAGGATGGCATGCTTATGGTAAATATATAAAGAAATGAGCACCCTGTGCCTCCAGATTATGTATAGTAACTCAGAACCATGATATTACCTCGACTGGTCGGATTTCATTAGGCGGCATATGTCCACTAAATTGATCGTTCACGTATGGTGAAGGTCTGCGGAAGATGTATCATAAGAAAAGGTGAATGAATGCAAACAAAAATAATGGACCCAAAGGATTCAATGATAAGGGACCAAAAGCAGACAGCTTGAATAGCTACATAAAGTGAAATAATTTATGCTCTGAAAAATCCATTTCTACATCTACCAAAATATCCAACGAAATCACCAGCAACTCCCACGCACAAAAGAGAGAGAGAGATAAGTAAAGAGGATTTTCAGAAGATAAGGCACCTAGAATCCCCTGCCCTTGGCTTCTTTGGATCCGCAAATCGAACAATTAAAGGCTGATCACATCCCTATTTCACAGCAGCACTATAAGAATTACTTAAAAGTAAAATAATATAAATTCACATCAACTTATAAGACTTACTCTCATCATATATCTTCCATGTAATGCCGTTATTGCAGCAATTGCCATATCTCGACAAGAAAATTGAACAAATGCACATCCTTGAAAGCAATGAAATGTCAGTATCGATGAAATATATTGAATGACTTTATCATCCACAAGCAAGGATTTGCAACGTACAAGAGGGGACAATAGATAAACTATTGATGAGAGCCTCAGCTAAAAGTGAAAACATGTTAAACTATATCCTTTCCCATCACTGCTTGGATGAATAGTTGGTGGCAATTAGAGGTCATCTTCTTAGATGATTCTTTTAGCTCAAGCATTTTCTAGATTAATTTAAATAGAGAGACTGAGATTAATTAAAAGGTACAAACCACGGTTTCGCTTGAATTCATCTCGGACAACATAAATGTCTTCAACAGCACCAAATGGGGTAAATATCTGGCAGTAAAAGCACTCGATCAATGCCCAAAATTAACTAAGAAGTTAGGAAACCATAATCAGTTTCAATTTAAAGTTTCTATCTCTAATGACAATACAAAAAATACAAAAAATAAGATGTTTAAATGAGGAAAAAAAAGACCCGTTTATCAGAATGAAATAGTCATGTGTGCAGATATTATTCTAAATCATACAACATTCAAAAAACTGGTATTAAACAAACTCAGCAATTCCCAAGACCAAATATGAACTTAAGAAGAAAATTATGGTTGGGCCCCTTGTAAAATTCATGCACGTGAACTGCTCAAAGTCAAGACATGTAAAGGCCGCATGTAACCATAATTAATACAGTGCAGGAAACAAGTACACCTCACAAATGAACGCAATGGAAAGCAGCTGCAAATTCAACACAATCATTATTGTGCAACCTCTTTTAACATTCACACAAGTGAAAAGTACCAGATGGTGCACATCTCAGCATGGATGGGTTAATATCAATACAGAAGTTTTAACATGGTACTTACTTCTTCAATTTCCCTTTTTGAAGCTTGTTTATTCACGCAGCCAACATACAACTTGTGCACATGTGAGCCAAAGCTCCCTAGAGATAGAGACAGATTAAATAAGCAGACGCAAAAAATGTGTTCCTAATTTTATGGGTACAATTTTACTAGATATCATATCAGCATTTACAGAAAAATATCCACAAATATCTAGAAGATGGTCGAAGTATGCAAGAATTTCCACTTCCCGTTAAATCAAGGTATCCAAGATTCCAATAATCAGCATATTAGGGATGGCAAAAAAATCCGTCAAACCCGAGGGGCGGGGCAAGTACGAGTAAAAAGTAACCCGCCCCACCCCGTTTAATTTTAAATTTTTTTTTTTAAGAATTTAATGTTTTAAATGGAAAAATCCACGAAATTTCATTAGTTCTAATAGAATATGGCAACAAAAATTATCTAAAAAATATGACAAACAATAAAAGCATTAGTTTACCAAATATATTTGAATAATTTAACTTTTAAAATAAATAAAAAATTAAAAAATATATATTATTGTCTCACTTTAATGAATGGCGGCAAGGACCCTGCCCCACCTTAAACGCGTAACGGGGCAGGGGATGTTAACCCGCCCCGTTGCCATCCCTAGAGCATATTTAACTAACAAAGTGGAACATACAAATTTCAATGATTGAACTACAATTATGAGGAACAATAACACGGCTTAAGTTATAGTCCAGTTTTCTTGCCTTGAAAACCCATCAATCAGCATGCACAGTAAACTTTATACTTACTATAGCTTAGATTAATCTATAAGTAAAAATATGTAATGTTCGATGCAAAACAATGTAATTCAAAGAGATACACATGCACAAAGAGGAGATAATAATATGAAAAAAAAAAAGTTGCTGACAGTATAGGGAAGAATTTATGCAAAATAATAAAATATATAAACCCAAAATACATAATGGATCTCAGAAAACTCAGGATCATGAAACAATTAAGCCTCAAAACCTTAAGAAACCACCCTGACTACCAAACGTACAAACAAAACAGGAGACAAGGATTTCAGGAGAATAGATAATCACCAAGGCGCTCACGTTCCCCATCAGCATATTTAACTATTATAGGAATCGTCCCCTGGGAGAAACAGATATATCAAAAAAAAATCATTCTGATGAATAAACAAATTTTACTAATGTAAGAGGCAAAAAGGCATTCAAGGAGTACACAGAAACTATGACAAGGAAGCAATTAACAAGTTCTAGCAAGATTGAAAAAAATACATTCAAGACTCTACATTAGTGAAAATAGTTCTCTGAAACCAAAAGAACAGGAAAAACAAAAGGAACCCTTCAATCTCCAAGGTGGTATCTGCACCCTCTCACAGACCCTCTGATTTCTGTTCCTCTATAGCACTCGCATTAAGCAATGTGGGACAAGAGACAAGACATGTACTTGCTAACCAAAAACCATTGAGTTTCCAACAAAGAACCCAGGAATAACCCACTGAAGTCCACAAATTTACTAAAGATCATCCAATGCAACTCAACATCACAATCTAGAAACAAATGTTGCACATCTTCATGCGCCATCTTGCACATATGGTACCAAAAAGTAAGTCATTTCTCTTTCCCCAAATTCTTACCAGTCAAAATGGCCTTGCAAGTTGTATCCAAAGCAAGAAACCCATTCTTTGGGATGGATTCATTAGACTTGAAGCATTGCATGTTATAAAAAGGAATATAACAAGGAATTTGTTATTACTAGAACCTCTTCAATATTCTATCTTCATTTCTCCCCAAAATCTGAATTGATATTGCTTCAGCAACAGTTCCAAGCAGATTATAATTCCCAATCCTGAAACTCCCTTTTAAAGTAAAATTACATGCCACCTACCTCCAGAAAAGCTAGCAATGTTATAAGCATCTTGATCGGTAAAGGTTCTGAAAAGAAGAGGAAACTCAGCTTTATTATCCCACCAAAAATGCAGGCAATTACTCTCCAAAAATCAACCTATAAATTTATTATGCCTCAAAAGACCCATTCCACAAGGATCTCTTGGCATTTTAATATGAAATCCTTCCCATCCTATGCCATGCTTATCACTAACAACTTCCCTTCATGTCATCCTGGCAGTAGCCAGCAACCCTGTTCATTTACTCAGCAGAGCTCTATTGAGCAACTAAATCTATCACCCCCAAAAATCCATGTGTAATAGGATCCTTCACCTTATCCCACAGAACTAAATGATATTCTCACTCCTTGTCTTCCCACAGTATTTCTCTGCAAATGCTCCAATCTTCTAGCCCCTGAAGCTGGAACAGTGAATAAACACAGAAAGACAATAGATGAAGACATGAAGTTGAAAGCAGTCATGGCAACAAGGTTATTTTGGTCCCTCCAGCCTCGCGACATCTGGATTCAACGCAACAATGATCTAATAATACAACCACAATGGCACTCCCAAGGAAGGCAGCAGGGAATGCACCCTTTTGCCAAAATCTGAGAATTGAGTACATCACCTACAGCAATAACTCTTCATCATAACGATTCTCAACCAGGCTAATTTCTAGCAGACCACTTAAAAACAGTTCTTTAATCTAGAATCAACTGCTTCATTAGTGGTTTCAAAAAACAAAAAACTACTTCATAAGCCACGGACACTGCATCTAATTATTGTCATCTGCAAAAAAAGGCATCCTGAGATGAAAAGCAAACTCCTCAACAAACCTTTCTTGATGTTAAACCTTCTGAATTTATTTCATAAACTCTCCCCACCAAACTTGAAATCTTTAACATTTAATGCACCAGACAATTTTAGGCAATAAAGCCACAAAATGTTGCATTTAAATTCTTTTGGTAAGAGACTTTAGAAGTTCCTGCAAAACATCCACTATATCTTCTCTAATCACCCGGCGTCCTGGAAAAAGGCCACAGAATCTCATGCATGGCAGGGGCTTTGTCAACACTACAAGCCTTCAGTGCTTGTAATTCCTCATAAAATGGTCTTTTAAGACACTTCTGGTCTTCTTCTTTATCTTCTTTTAGGACACCTCATCAATCCCAGCTCCAAGCATCTAAACTAGACAACTATATTGGAGGGGAAAAGAAAGTTCAAGTCATTGAGATGTGATAACTTACCCCAGGAAAAGTATATTGGCCTTGTAACCCCACAATAGCTCGCTCGGCCGCCTCCACCATAGCATACTTCACAAAGCAATATTCTGAAGATTGTTAAAAAAAAAAAAATTATTTTCTCATCTCGTTATGAGTTGGCAAAGATGAACACACATATAAACATCAACAGAAACATACTGTGTCCGACAATACTACATATATTTTTCTTTTTCCATAAGATAATAATTGATCAACATTTACTCTCTATTTTTATTTGGTTTCCTCTAAATAAATGTATAAAAAGTTGTAAACAATGTACAAAAGCATTGAAGATTTTATGTAGAGTGTGGGTGTGGATCTCTGAATTTGAAGAGCCAAATCCACTCTTTATTTTATTTTGTACATATTAAGAGTTTGTTAGACTCCTCAAAAGAAGGATCAACACTCTAAAATAGAGAGGATGCTATTAATAAAGAGTCTCTTGGAGATGCTCTAAACAAAGTCATAATTGTACACACTGAGACATTCAACTTGTCACAATATCATCTCTCATAGTAAAAAATTAAACCAGTGATGATAAAACTCCACAGAATACAAGGTGCATATAGCAAATTTTCTGGCCAAATAGTGGTAGAATACAATGTTTGTCACCTCATAATATAAAATATAAAAAACAAATCATTGTAGCGAACATTGATAGATACCTTGCTGTACACCAGTCCATTTATCCCTGAGAAGAATAACCTCAACAATATGTCCATATTCTCCAAAAATGGAGCGAATCTGACCAAAAAGTTAGCGATTACTAATACCGTGGAAAGTATACCGGCAGAAACTAGAATTCGAGATCATGGAGAAGCAGAACCCAGAAACTTAGTAATTGAAAGTTTGTAATGAATTTATCGAACAGCTAGGTTTTCGTTTTCTTTTTTTAGAGTAGCAAACCCCTCACCCCCACCCTCATCCCTTGGGCGGAAACCGATGCAATTCATATGCGAACCTTAAAATTTAACTACATGCCCACTGATCAATGATGGTCAGTGCTACTTACATCTTGTTCAGTGATTGTTCGAGGAACTCCTCCAACGAATAGCTTCACAAAATCAACAAAGTCTGAAAAAAAAAGTGATTAAAATAGGTAAAAAATTACTTACGCAGAAACTTAATCAACTGAGTAAGCCAGAAAAAAGTTTCCAATATACCAGATTGAGAAATTGGCCTTTTATGCCCCGACAGAGGCAAATTGCTGTCATGGAGACCGGAAGTTGGGTAATTTTCCTCGCCGTTAAAGTTGGAGTATAGTTGGTCGGCTTCATGATAGCGGTTGTAGTAATGACGGTCGTGGTGGTGGTAGTGGCGGTCGTCGCCGTCGTAGTAGTGATGGCGGTTGTCATAGTTGGGCCCATATGATGTCGTAGAGTAGTCACCGTATCTGTCTTCTCTGTATCTGTCCATTATTTTACAGCTCCCTTTTTTTTCCTCTTTTTTTTTTTTGTAATTATAAAGCAAGCCTTGTATAAGGGGATCCCCACCCTCTCCAATTTTTTTGTAGTAAAAGGAAGTCGCACTCTTCATTAAGTTCATTTCACTCACGACTTTAACGTTTGCAAGAGCTCTTCAAAGTGGCGGTTCAAATAAATTTGACGCATTAGGCAAACTCGATGCGATTTTTTAAATAAAATATAAAAAATTAATGGTTTAATTTTCGTCAAAGATCGATTTAATGAAAATATGTCATAGCGCAATAAATTAATTGTATGTAAATATCAAAACAAATTTAGTTATCATTTCAATCTAAGTCTCATATCAACTTGGTCAAATTCAAAACGGTGAGAGATAGCTCAAGCAAAACGAGGCCTACTAAACTTATTCACTCTTCTAGAAAGCACTAGCAGGACATTTGATTTGGATTAAAAATCAATTAAAATCTGAAATTAAGTTCAATGGTTAGTTTTAATATCACGTTTTATGGGATTCACAACTTTTTAACCACACATTTCATCAACTTTTATTAAAATCTACAAAAAATCTGATTTTAATCTCTACCAAATAAGAGCTATAAAAAAGTACAGGTACACGAAGAAGAATGAAATTTAGAGATTTAGAGGAATTAATTTTTACATATTCTTATTGAATGGTAAGATAATTATTGCATGCTGTGAGTTTTTATTCATTATTTAGTATCAAAAACGATTTCATATACATGGTGGGTAGAAGTTATCGTGCCCACCGCTGACGTGACAACGTTGTGTCAGCAATCAAGCCTACAATTGAATTATAAAAAATTGTAGGCTTACGTCAATGGTGAGCATATTTTGTCATATTTTTATAAAATGCTTAGTCAAGCCCTTCAAAAGTTTTTTAGGTCTAACTTACTATAAAAAGTTTTTGAGGCTCTTTTTAGGTTAAAATGTGCAAATTGTCCTTTTACATATTGTTAAAATATCTTAAATGCCCTTACCATATAATGACAATAATACTCATTTTTCAAATCAAAATTATAACCGTTATTTTCACTGTTCTACTTCTTTTTCTTCCTCTTCTTCTCTTCCTCCTCTTCTTTTTTTATTTAATTTATCAATAATCTTCTGCTTTTTATTTTTCTTTCCTCTTTTAATCTAGTTTTGCTCCAAATATAAAGAATCACAATCAAAGGAGAAACCCTTATATTTCTACATTTTATATTGGCAAGATATTATTTTCACTTTTAATTATTTTTTAATCTTGTATTTTTTTTTTTAATTGGTACATATATTCATTGTCAATTGTATTTATTTAAGTGTATGGATGTATTTTTCAATCTCAAGTAGTTTTGAAAAGCATAATCTCGTATTTTTTTTAGTTACAGATTCATCACAGGCGTATTAAACGACTACGATCGTTTAAAACGACCATAGAAACGACTGCAGCAACTTTATTTGCTAACATTCTAGAATCTTACTATTCGAATATGGACTCAACAACATGGATTTCTACATTTTATTTTGGTGATGTTGTTAATGATGATCAAGGAAATGTCTAGTTGAGGTGCCACTAGTACGACTATGATGCAGACGTCCTAAAACAACAAAGATTTCATCTACTTGAGAGTTTCTGAAAAGACACAAGTTTAGTAGGTGTGCCGCAACTGGACACAACCGATTAACATGTGTCAGATACCTTTAGCCGATGGAAGAAGATTGGAGGACTAGTATATTGTTTGTTTGGTTTTTTTTTTTTTAATAGAGGGTATTTGGTGTAGATTAAAATTAGATTTTAAGCGGATTGTGATAGAAATTTTTGAAATATGTGGTTGAAAAGATGTGGGACCCATGAAAGATGTGGTTGATATTGATTGTTTGACTTTAACTTAGATTAAAATTATATTAAAATTTGGTCCAAATAGGCCCATAGTTTAGATAACAATGCAAATTGATTTCTACTTATTACCATGTATGCTCTATATTGTGAGTTTTTTGTCGTAATTCGTGTCAAAATTGTGTTTTATGAATGTTGGAATATTTTTTGCATGTTCATTTATGGAAATAACAAGTGATGAATGGAAAACGACTCAAGTTGTTTTAAACGACTGCAAAAACGACTCTAGTCGTTTAAAAAGACTGAAGTCGTTTAACAAGAAAACAACCCCATCGCTTTAAACGAATTAGTCGTTTTACATTAAACAACTGCAGTCATTTAACACGATTTTAGTCATTTTAAATGACTCACATCTATTTTTCAATCATATGCTCGTTATTCTATACATTTTTGAACAAAATAGTTTGAAATCAAACAAAGCACGATTTAGAATGTTATACATTATGATTTAGCTTATCCAAATCAATTCACATATCTTTCATTATACATTACTGTAAGTCACACACTTGGAACTAAATACAATTTAATTGAAAATCATCTTACATTATATATTGCTGTAAGTCACATAATTTGAAACTAAATATGGTATACTTGAATATTTTTAGTGGAGCACGATGAATTGTATATAATGAAGTCCATCTTCCTATTCTTTTTAAACTAATAGGTTGAAACCAAACACGATATATAATGTTAGAAGTTTGATTCGCACATCATCTTACAGTGTACATTATTGTGAGTTGTATAATTTGAAACTAAATACGGTATACCTAAATATTTTAAGTGGAGCACGATGAATTGTATATAATGAAGTTCATCTTCCTATTTGTTTTAAACTAATAGGTTGAAACCAAACACAATATGTAATGTTAGAAGTTTGATTCGCACATCATCTTGCATTATACATTATTGTAAGTCGCATAATTTGAGATACGATGAATTGTATAAAACTAAAATGACTACAAGAATTTCAATCGACTTGAATTATTGTTCGAAAAGATTGGAGTCTTTTTAAACAACTTTAGTGGTTTAGGAAAGCGAATAGTTTATAGCTGTTTTTTCAAAGCGAATAGTTTATAGCCTTTTTTTACTACTTTAGCATTCGATAACCAACATTTAAAAAAAAAATCGACATTATCTACCCTTTAATATAAACTAAATTAACCTGAAAAATTAAGCTACTAGTCACAACGCAAAAAATACATCAAAAGATCCTACAGATCATAACTCATAGACATACAAATACATCAAAAAAAGATCCTATGGCTCACAATCAAGGGCAAACATTCCCTGCTACGGTCTCTATCAAAGCACCCCCTACCCAGTCTCCCTCTCAATGCTCCCTGCAATTGCCTCCCTCCCAATCTCCTCTATCTCAGTCTCCATCACAACGCCCCCTTCCACAGTCTCTCCCATAGTGTCTCCCTTCATAATAACAAGTTGTGAATTAGTTGGGCATATATTTTTATGTTCCTGATGTCGTATAGTTTACCGAAGTACAACTTCAAGAACGTCTCTTTATGGATATCATCTAATGCATTATATACTTTCTCCACATTTAACACGTTAGAACGTGTTGTAACCTTAGCATCGCAGTGATCACCAATATTGTATATGTACTATATCCTACAAATAGCATAAAACTTTTAGTATATCAATTGAAGGAAAAATATGTAAATCTAAGATGCAATTAATTAATAAGAAAAAGGAGCAAAAGAATATAAAGATTTTGGTTTTAAACTTCTATTATTTTTAAATGGCATAAAGCAAATAGCTCTCAGGAATTAAACCTCATGAAAAATAAAAATAAATAATAGAAGCCAAACAGAGATGAATGTACATCATAAATAGAAGAACCAAAAGTACAGATGCATTAAACGAAGTAAGGTTAAGCTTGCAACAAATGCAGATGGCTTTGACAAAATGGAACTGTTTATCATTGGTCATGCACAAAAGCCTTGTGCTTTAATAGAAAAACTGAGCAGCAGCTGGGTTCTACTATCACAGCAATACAAAAGCTTGCATGACAGACTCCTTTTAGGGAATGGTTTCAAAAGATGGATCAAGAAATGTAAGACGCTAACTATAAAGTTTTAATTTTGCTGGAGAATGATCCTCCATATGTAGCAAAGGATGTGCCTCTTACATGTGCGGAGGTTTAGCTTCGTCCTCCAAAAAAATTCAACCAATGGATGCTGAAATTATTCTAGTGTCTAAAGAGGTCATATCAATGTTGATAGAGATGAACAACAAAAGTAGACATCTACATGGTTGATCAATTAACAGCCAAGAAATGGGCAAAGGCAGCATGGAGCATAATTTCCAGCACAACAATGGCCAATTGCTACTTTAAGCACACAAGTCACTTTGAAGAGAAAACTCGCGAAATTGAAGAGCGTACAAGAACAAGCAATAGAACAAGAACTTGTAAATGTCATTGATCTACTTCCAATTCATTAACCAATGTCCATTAATGCCCTCTTAAATCCAGAGAAAGGGCAACAAAGAAGATATGGATGATGATCTTCTTTGTCTAGAAAGATAAATTAGGTATCATTTGCTCATATATTTCTTGGCCTTTCAAATTTTGCTCATGTTGTAGCTCATAAGGTATTCTAAGGTATTACTTCGAGATCATGACAACAGGGAAGAAACATGCTACTCTAAACTAATGGTTATACAAGGAACGGATTCTTTTTTTTTTTTTTTTTTGAAACACGTGAATAAAATTCTTATATGAAAGACGTCGTTCGCTGGGGCTTGGGCAGTGCGACCCAAATTGATACCATGNTAGAGAGGTCAGACTGTACCCATATCCAAAATTAAGAAACCTTCTTCACCAAATCCAATGGTTCTAAATTTAAAGAATTCATATGTTAACCTTAGATCCACACACCTGACCGTGAAAGCTTATCCCTGAGATTGGGAAAATCCTCATTTTCTTGTCAAGCCCAAAAGTTATTCCAGACACGTCCTACGTATATCCTACAATGCACTGTTGCTGGTTGCTTTTGCCAAAGAAGTGAAACTGAATCTACAAACAACCAAGCAAAAATCACAAACCAACCCCATCCAGGGCATTTTCTACTCTATAACAGAAT